AGCCTTTTTTCCTAACTTTCCCAAACCATGGGTTACTTATGGCATGCGGGTATTCAACACTTTATGGAAGATCTGAAACCACGGTGGGAATGATTAGCCCACACACCCAACGATATAAAATATAATAGCTTATTTTATGCTGATTAGTTAAATGAAAGATGACAAAATTATGTATAAATTTTGACTTTGTTAACATTACCTGTGAGATTTTTTTCCCCTCGGGAAACATACAAAGAAAGGAAACACACAAACGTGTTAATAGCAGTTACCTCCAGGTAACAAAATTATCATTCATTTTTTTCTTCCCCTTCTCCCAAATTTTCCACATCTTCTTGGATGCACTTCCCTCTCTACATGTAGAAGTGAGCGGCCTTTTCTTCTGGCCCCCATACCTTTGGCTTTCCTTTTTATATTTATAATGGAACATCATCTCTGCCCCGGCTTATTGAACTGTCTTAAGCCTGTGGCTCTGTACTTTCCCGTCTGCAAAGAAGAGCTGCATTTCAGGTGCTTATCAGAGATGACCTCTAACTCTTTGCTGCTCAATATTTTGCAAAAGTTCGGTGGAAAATGAATAGTATAAATGGAGAATTGCCTGGAGGTTCTTTCTTTTCCTTTATAGAATTGTACTTTGGCCAAATGCCAACAATGAGGAATGTTCTGTAAAGCAGTCCTATATGATTCAGTGGCAGTCACTGTGGGGCATTTGAGGAAACTGATCATCAGAGCTCAAAATATTCCCTTTATGAGTACAGGTGAGAAAACTTCTGTTCTTAGTGCCAGAGACACTAAGAAACTTCATTTTTAAAAATCATGTAACCAAAGGAGATTTTCGTCTCTGCCCTGGTCACTGGGAAGCCCAGAGCCAAATTTTTGTTCCACAGGCATGCATTTTCTATACCCAACTTTGCCTTACTTCTCTTTCCCCTTAGTCCTCAATATATTTTGTATTCTTATTTTTTTTAATCATCTTAAAGTCCTTATGAAACAAGATAGTTATAAGAAAAAGCACTTTGTTAACATTAAAAAGGAAAACAAATTTGAAAAAATGCCCATGAAAGGATGGAAGCTTATGATCACAACTTCCTTTCACTCCTCAGTGGAGAAAACAGCCAGCATCTTCTTTGGCAAAACTACGCTGATAAAAGAAAAGAAGAATGCTTCTCCAACCTTCAGTATTTTCTCTAAGAATCCTGGGCTGTTTTCCATAAGAAAGCTGGATCTCTTCAAGAAGTTCTGAGCTAGCAAAATATTTTCATTAAACACATTCAAACAGTTTTTCTCTGCAGTTTGTCCCAGGAAAATATGGGTGCATGAGACTGCCTGATTGCTGTTTTCTATCAGCTTAAGCTCGCATGAATATCTACTTTTTAGGAAAAGAGTGTAATCAGGAAGAATTATGTGAATTTCTGTTCCACGTCCCTTCCACTCAGAGCACCGACAGGTTCTAACTCAGCTTAGCTGGGGATAAGGCAGTGTGAGATGGCAGCCATTGCACATACCTCCAGTTGTATGAAGGTCCTTGTGTGGCCATGATAATGCCTTAGTTACGCAGATGTCTCTTGGAACTCAGTATGAAGTATTAAGAGGGAACACCCTTAAGTATTAAGGGTCAGAGGAAAGATATGTGCTTTCATGTTTAAAACATTCTATGCAATATGATCCAGAGCTGGCTTGTTTTCCCCCTAAATTTCTTTCTAGGAAAACTCCCATCCCTTTTTGCTGAAATGGAGCTGTACCTTGTCACAGGGTTGTTCTGGGTAACATCAGTTGTAACTAAGGCCCTTCCCCACCAAAGCAAGCCCTCAGAAGAGGACTGTATTACTGCAGCAGAATAGCTAAGCGGAGCGAGTCCTTCCCACGTGCCTAGAACCCTGCAAAGCTCTCCGCTAATGATCGCATCACTCCTCACCACCAACCTGCAAGGTAGGTCTATCTCCATTTTCGTGTTGAGGCTTAGACCACTGAGTAACTTGTCTGGGGTCACACAGCTACCAGATGACAGAAACAGGATTCAAATTCAGATCTGTCCATCTCCCAATATATGCACTTAAAATGACTTGAATGGGACTCTACTTGTGCAGAAGAGCAGAAAGTCTAAATTCGCTTGCCAGGGGCCTGCTCACCTCAACAGATCTCAGGACTCCCCAGGTACTTCCTGACAGACCAAGGATCTGTTGGTCCTTCGTGCTCTCAATGAGCCACTAGAGCCAGAACTCAGACACGCTCCTTTGATCCCACAAGATTGTAGCAGCTTCCAACAGAAGGTGGCTCCTTCAGAAAACAAAATTAGGCCAGAAACTTGGTGTTAATGCACTCAATGTCTCAGTTTTTTGCCAGGAAAAATGGGGATAACAAGTGCACCCACTTCTTATGAGAATTCAATACCTTCAGACAAGTAATGCAGGACAGGGCCTGGCATATAAGAAATGCTCAGGAATTGTTAGCTAGTATTGTGAATAATAATGACTTTTATTATTGTTGTGGTTGTTATTATCAGCAGCTCCCACGTAAAAGAGAGGCAGAGGGATCACAGGTATAGATGGGCCCAGGAGTGGAATGACGGAAGGCAGTGGTTCTCCACTCTGCCTGCACATTGAGCTCCCCTAGAGGGAGCATTGAGATTTTGGTCCCTTCCTTCCTAGGAGGGTCACTAAAGTCCTTATGAAAATTAACTTACGGCTAAGCTCTCCCTCCCCTAAAATTTTAAATTCTGAATTTCAACACACTGTCACAGTGAAAACCTCACTGGATACTCCAGGAAAACCACTAACAATCACTTTCTATACATTCTCTCTTTGGAACCAGATGAAATGCTGTAAGAGCTCGGTAGGGCAAGAACTATCTGCTTACCCCAGCTGACAAAAGTGAGGCTCAGAAAGAGTTAAGGAGCTTTCCCAAGGACACAGAGCTCATGAGTCACAAAGCCGAGGCCCAACTCCCAGTTTTTGAATCCAAATGCCAGCACAGGTCACATCACATTAAAGTGATGAAACTGGAAAATGTTGCAAAGCCATCCCAGGGTCAAACAAGCCCCTTCTGCAACACCCTTTGAAAATTTATTCTTTCTCTTAAACAAGGTAACCAGAGTCACCCTCTAGACAAGCAGAGAGGATATTAGTTACAATTTGGACAGTATTTTTATCACCAATAGGGGCCAGAAATCCTTCTAACACACACACATACTCACACACACTCATACTCACACTCAAACTCCCACCTGTTATTTATTCAGCCATTTAATAATGGGACATGTCCGGGCAATTTAAACTTTTATCTAGGGGCTGCAAACTTCATATCAGAATTAGCAAACACCAGAGCTTATTATCCCCCATGTTCCTGAACCCAAAGCTCATGCAGAGTATGTGGAAGAGCAAGAAGTTTGAAGAGGGCCACTCTTTAGAATGTGTTCCTCAGCACAGCAGGACAGCTAAGGTGTCTTTCTGCTCTGAAATCCCATGTTGCTTTGACAAAGGCCATTCTCTCTCATCGAACATGGGCACCTTACCAGTTCTCCTTGGTGAGCGCCCCTGACCTCTGGGAGAGCATGCCAGCTTCCAGTAGAATAGCTCTCCTGGGTGCCTCTCAGAACTAGTCTAGATCTGTGAGCTGCATGCAGCTCTGTGAGAATGGCTACGGGCTTCTGGACCTGGAAACCAGTGCTTGCTACCACCAAGGGGAGCATCTCCAAGCTGCATGCATGGGACAGACGTGCCTGCCCTGTGCCCATCCATCAGAGTTTACACCTTAAGAATGGTTCTTGTTCCACATAATCTATATCAATGACCAAGTGCCACAGATCACATTCAGTGGTTAAAATTACACACAGTACAGCTCCACTGTTAACTTCTTTCCATGAAGCAACTTTAATACCAGATAGGTGTCTCTTGCTGTCCAGTCCCAGACTCAATGCTGCCAAGTTACACAAGGACTCCAATATGAAGTGTCACATCTATGAGCAGTCTATGCTACATGCTCCAAAGAATGGACTTCATTAAGGCTTCAAATATTTTGGGTCTGAGTTCTGATTCTAGTAGGAATTTCAGTAGCTTATAAAAGGTAGAGTCAGTACAGGCTGGGTACAGATTGCCCTCATTAATCCCTTAAGGGTCCTTTAAGTGTGTGCAGGCTGGAGCCTCCCCATGTGGGCTCCACGGTTGTGGTCCCAAACATTACAGAAAGGTCAACACAGTTGAAGACATTCAACCAAGCCTTAAAATGGTAAAAACAACAAAAGGAAGGCAAAGTTACATGGCAAACAAATAGCAATGTTTTGTGATCACCAATCTTACTGGATATGACAACATGTATATAAAGGCAAAAATTTCATAGACCTCCCCTCCCACATGATACTAGCAAACAAGGTCAAAGGTAACACATGAGAAAACACACGACTGTGGCAGGGAGTTTGGGGTGAGAAGAGGGGGTGATAAGCTCACAGAGATAGATGGGGGCAGGAGGCTCCAGGCATCCATAGTGAGGCCTTTGGAAGGAAAGACACTGGAAATGTCTCAGCAAGAGTAATGTGTGTGACAGCGAAAGTTGAGAAGATGAATTTGGCAGTCTAATTATAAATAAATGTCACAAACCATCACAGTCTCTTATTCAATCCAAATAAATCAAAGATTCCCACCATATCACCAAGAATTAAAAAAGAAAAAAATTAACAAGGGAATATTTTGGGAGGGTAATACAAAGAGCCCTCCAAAACTCTGGATAATCACATGAAAATGCACAGTCGACTCAGAGCTGGGATTGTAAACCCAACAAGCACACTGCCAAGTCTAGAAACAGGACAAGTATTTATAGCTGAGAAAGATTTAAATGGCCAGTAACTCTTCCTTCCAGATTAAGAAAATAAAGATTCTAATGAAACAGCTACTCTGTCTGACAGGGCATCAGACCTGTAGTAGTAATAAACAAACTGAAGCCAGTTCAGATCAGAGTCAAGAGAAATGGGAAGAGAATTTGACCTGATGATAAACAGTTCGCGTTTTCACCTTCAATTTCCAAATAATCCTTGTTGCAATATCTCCAATAATTTCTCCAGTGAATCTTCCCCTGAAGTGGATTTGATTTGAGGAAATATTATTAGATCTACAAGGTACAGTTCCATTTCTCTTTATATCCTGTGAATTTTCTTCCACGGGCAGAACCTCGAGATTTCTTGTGAGAGCCAGGCAGAAGGCAGGGCAGAGATGGGGGGCATGGAATGAAAAAAAGGAAAATAAGCAACTTTACTGGACGTGATTAAAATTTCCTTACAAAGACAGAAAAAGAAATTATAACTACCACCAATTATAAGTACTGCTTTTATTTTTCTTTAAGTTATTAACAAAATTTCTAACCCACTGCTCTCTGCCACAAGATCCTAATCAAAACAATAGAGAGAGATCGGATGTTTGCATTTCTCTCTCCAAGGAATCTTTACTAAGACTCCAGGTTTTACCTGAGGTGAGCCAATTTGGTGTTGTCATGATAACACAAATGCGACTTTGTGCTTTTTGTTTTGTTCTGTCATTTTATTTTTGCCTTGCTGCAAAGAAAGATGCTAGATGGAGGCCAGTTCTAAGCAAAGCCATTTAGGAGAAAGGAATAAGAAACTATGAAAATTTATAGTGTGCCTTTTTAAGGCATGAGACGTAATTCATCAAGAGATCTCACTTAGATTTCATCTAGCCACGTTTAGTATTAATGCTCCTCTTTCTGTCTGTGAGATTTAGAACTCAGACAATGCAGGGATGCTGGCTTAAATTCAATAAGGACTCTGACCTGTGCTTGAGCTCCTCCAGCCTGCTTCAGAGGCATTCTGCTCCTGGGAGTCAGTCCACAGTCTCCTCCTGGGGAGTCATGATGTCATGTTTGTAGAGTACTTTGAACGTTCGCAGAAGAAAGGCAGTGTGCAAATTCAAGACATTCTTCTCACGCTATATAAGACATAGGCATCATTTTTTGGGTTCACGTTTGGAAAACTGCCCCTCTAGCCAAGAGAGCGCTATGGAGTCACTATAAAAGGAAGGGACGATCTTCCATGACCTTCGTAGGTTTTCTGTTGAGTGTTTTGAATAGCCTTTGTGCCAGCCAACTCTCTCTCCTTCTTCTCTTTGTTCTTTCTTGGAGTCTCTGGCAAAGGGGAGGAAGAGAGGAACTAAGAATATAAAGACAGAGAACTAAACAATGATCCTTCCTCTTTGCAGTCACTTATTCCCAGAAAGGTGTCTCTCCAGAGTTCACCAAGAGAACCAAAAGAACCTGATTAAAAGATCTGTTCAGATGTTCCAATTCAATTTCACAAACATGGCTGGTCCTACAAGTATTTAAACTATAATTTTTGCCTTCAAGATGCTTACTTCTTACAACAGGAAAGGAGTAAGTTTTGACTGCAAAGAAGGATATTGGTGATACTAGGGTATTATGGTTAAGAAGGTGAAAGGCAAGTACTAGATTTGGTAGAAGTCTCAGGGATGTCTCATTTCCCAAGTCCCTTAGCCCAATCCCAATCCCGCCGCCCCTCCATCTCTATCCACACAAGACCTCCGATCTGTGCTTCCAAATGGCCTTCCATTATCTTCTTCCCAAAGCAAATCCAAGTCAATTTAGGAACAAGATCTGATTTGGGTTATTAACCATTATTTGTCCTTCAACTCTAGAAGGAAACTTGACCCAAAGGGTGAAGCTTTTTATTTTCCTCACATGCAACAGTTGTCCATCCAGAAAAAACAGTCAGACCTAGAAAATTGCTGTGAGTGATAAACACACTTTCTCAGAGAGCTTAGTTTCTCCTGGGATGGGAAAAATAATTCTTCAGATCTCAAACTAGAATTCTAATTTGTACCAGGTGTTAAATCCGTTCCCACCATGGTTTAGCAAAACCACCACAACCTGCATTTTGTTAGCCTATTAGATGATCAGCTGAAATCACTATTCCTTTATGTTCAAAAACATACTTTCTCTCCCACGTAACTTATTCAAGGGCTCCTTTGAGATTTCAGTGGAAGACCCAGCTCTTGCTAAAAGTGCTTCTCCAGTTACAACAGAATCCCCTTAACTCTTTGATCAGTCTGTCCATTTATTCCAGACTTCTGACTCTAGGAATCATTAAGTGGTCTTTCCTCTTTTAGATGGCAAACTCTGTCATGCCTCATAATTGAGTGGGCACTCAATAAATGAATGCTATAGTGCTCTGAGGAATAATACACTTCCTATTGGCAGTAAATCCAAGAGAAACTTCCTTAGAAGAAAGTACTGTCAATTACCACTTAACAAGCCTGAATTTTGGCTCCTGTAGAAAAAGCAAACAAAACAATAACAACTCACTCCCCAAAAGCAGCCACATGGCTATCTGGTTACTGCCCTCCAGTCACCTGGCACGCAGCTGGTCCCACAGAAGGTGCTCAACAAGTCCTTGTTGGTAGATTGATTTGTAAAAGCATGAGACTGGTGATATGTAAAACATCACTGATAGGGAGACACCAGCTGGGTTCCTAACAGTCTGGCTGTGCAGAGCTCTGACCTCCCATGGTCCTTGGCTCTCTTACAGCTGAACAAATCTAGCTGGGTGTGAGATGCCAGGCCAGGAGCAGGATGCACACAGCAAGGACGAGGAGGCCATTCTGGAATACTGGCAAAAGATTTGCTCTTGTTCTTTAGCAACAGCCACCACATCATCCTGTCCCCCTAAGGGTGAAGTCCATTCAAACTTTACTGCACAGCTTTCCTTCTATACTACGCTGGGCCAGGCCAGAGCTTCAGGCTGGATAGGAAGAGAGTCACAATTAGAAGGCAAATCACCTGGAGAGCTTAAAAATGCTCATGCCCAAGCCCCATTTCCAGATATTGTTATTGAATTGGTCTAGAGCAGAACTCCAGTGCTGAAATCCTTAAAAGCTCTCCAGGGGATCTTAATGTGCAGGCAGGGTAGAGAAGCACTGCCTCCCATCGTTCCAATCCTGGGCCCACCCACACCTGTCATCTCTTTGCCTCACTTTTACATGGGAGCTGCTGATAATAACAACAACAATAATAATAACTGTCATTATTATTAATAATAGTAGCTAACAATTCCTGAGCATCTATTATATGCCAGGCACTATTCTGCTTTATGTGTATGAATGCACTGAATTTTCATAAGAAGTGTGTACACTTTTTACCCCATTTTTCAGGTGGAAAAACTGAGGCATAAGAGTTTAAAAATTTGCCTAAAATTTCACATCTAGTAAGTGACAGAGCCAAGCTTTGAACCCAGAAAGACTGGCTCCAGCACCTTCTCTCTTAACCATCAACCTACACTGCCTCTCTGCATTCATTCAATGCATAAAGGCTTTCAGGTACCACATGGGTGCACTCCGGATCCTGTACGGACATAATCACCTTCTCAGATAGTCATATTTCTAAACACACATATCTGATCCCATTGTCCCTCTATCAAAAACCTTTGCTGGCTTACCAGCTGCTCATGGAATAAAAATCCAAACAATACACAAATACCTTCTTCAATTGTACTTTGGAATTTACTCCCAGCTTAAGCCATTCTACCCTCCAACAATTCTGTATTACTTGCAGCTCTTTCATCTACCATAGAACCATGGAAGCAAGCTTGAGAACCTAGACTCCCCTCCACACTCCAGATATGGTCGTTATCAGCATTAAAACTCCTCATAAATGTGTCTCTAAAATGATTTAGAGATGCTAAGACAAAACCTTCTCAAAGAGCCAGGTTGAAAGGAAGCACATCCACTTGGAAACCACCCTTCCAGGAGTACGAGCAGCAGTACAACATGAATTTAAACCACACACATAACCAAGTCAAAATCCATTCACTACATCAACTATCCACTTCCACAAAAAGTTTACAAATGGAATTATCATGGTGAAATGGTATATTTCAAAGAACTTACTGCATTACTCATAACTTGCAGATTAAAATTCTTATGTGCTAATAAGCATTTATGCTTAGCTAGCTCAGTATGGGCCACAAAGCCCCTATTTCCATAGAAATTCCCATTGAAAAGAGTGTTTTAAACACTATAGCACTACCTTTTAAAACTTCCTGTAAATTGCATTTATGACAAATGAAAACAATCAAATTCAGGGCCAGGATCATAGGAATTCATCCAAGTTTCTGGAAAGGAAGGTGGAAGTGGTCAAGGACTTCATTCGTGCATTGAAAAACAAGCAAAACAAAATCCAACACTCTGTAAAATAAAGGACATTTATGAGTTCACAATGCAGCCAGAATGTGGATATCTTACCTTGGTCGGCTTCAATTTAAATGTGATCTACTTTTGGTTTTCTTTACATCTCCCAAGTCTGTAAATCTACCCACTGCCCTCTGATACTGCATTCACATCTGTCACCAACTGGACAAAACTCAGTTTGTGCTTTCTTTATTCAAATAGAGAACATATTACTATTCAGCCATCCAAGATCCAAATAATGCCCGCCTACCCTGGTCCAGATAAAAGCTCACACATCACAGCATCATCTGACTTCTCATCATTCTAGCCCAGGATGTCTCACCCATGGCACCACTGCCATTTTGGACCAGACAGATCATTCTTTGTTGGGGCAGGCTGCCCTGTGTACTGTGGTATGGTCAGCAGCAGCCCTGGGCTCTACCCTCTAAATGCCAGTAGTACCTCTCCCCAAGGCTTGACAACTAAAAGTGTCTTGAGACATTGCCAAATGTTCACTGGGGGGCAAAATTGCTCCCAGTTCAGAACCATTGCTCTACCCTCAGACTCAACCCATTTTGGAGTTTCACTCTAGCCATAAACTCTTTACCACGTTTGGCCAAATTTTTACTTTCTGAACTTGCTCAAAGGCAGTCTGCCAAATAGTCTTTGGCCTTGGGATTTCAAAAAATGTGTTCCCATTAGATTGTAACCCTCAATAGGGGTTCATTTGTAATAAGTCCACATTGAGCATTTGATTTGGGGTTGAGGCAGAGGTGGGGAGTTGACTTGGCCAAGACACACAAGAAAGGAGTTAAGGCAGTCCTTACTAACACCTGCATTCCTCTTCTGAACACCCTCCAGGAGCGGTTGGGCGTGTTATTTCCCCTGAAAGGCCACATGTGGAGTTTTGCCCAATGTTTTACAGTAAGCACACTACATCCCTCAAGAGGGCACCTCTATCACTTAGCTACTTGTTAGTAACTCAATCCAGCTGGCTTAAGCAACAAAGGGAGTTTATTGGTTCAGGTAAGTGAGAAGTCCTACAGAATGGCAGCTTTCAGGAGAAGCTGACCTGGGCTCAGGTTGGAGGTCAAGTTTAGGTGCCATTGTTCTGATTCTCTCAGTCTCTTCTTCATGAGTCAGCTTCCTTCATGGTGGCACAGTGGCTACAGCAGTTCTGGCCTAAAGTCCTTACAGCACATTGCCTTTCCAACCAAGCAAAAGTCCTGAGCTTCACTATAACTGGATGGACTTGAGTAATGTACTTGGGTTGAACCATCTAACCATAGAAGGCCATAGGCTGACTTGTTGAGGCCCTTGAATCAACCACACTGGCTGAACGGGGAAGTTATGCTGATGGGACTAGAACAGTGGTTCTCAAAGTGTGCTCCCTGACCAGTGGCATCAACTGTCACCCGGGAACCTGTTAGAAATGTAGATTCTCGGGCCTCCCCCCAGACCTGCTGAATCAGAAACTCCGAGGTGGGGCCTAACAGTCTTTTTTTTTAATTTTTTTTTTATTTTTCCTTTTTCTCCTCAAAGCCCCCTGGTACATAGTTGTGTATTTTTTTTAGTTGTGGGTCCTTCCAGTTGTAGCATGTGGGATGCCACCCCAGCACGGCTTGACGAGCAGTGCCATGTCCATGCTCAGGACTCGAACCGGTGAAACCCTGGGCCACCGCAGCAGAGTGCAAGAATTTAATCACTCAGCCACACGGCCGTTTTAACAAGCTCTCCAGGGGATTTGATGGAAGCTAAAGTTTGTGACCCACTGGTTTAGACCATCAGGCCCTATCCATGGAGCCTGGAGTGGGGTGAACCCATTCATTTCACTGGGCTGTCACACAATTAGAAAATGATGCCATGGAGGCCCGGAAGTTACCATCAAAATAATTTAGAAGGGGACAGTTCATCGCACTTCTTACTAACTATGGCGAGGCTATGGGGGAGAAAACACAGTCATCAATAACCAAACTAGCAAATTGGTTGGAAGATTACTTCTGCTGCCCATATGTATTCGTTTTCAGGGCTTGAAGGAAAGGAAATGCTCAACATTAACCTTAGCATTTCTATGGGCCCCAACGCACTCTCTCTGGAGAAAGCGGACAAATAAATGTAAACCTATTTGAGAAAAGCAAAGCAACTTGGCAGTTAAAACTGCACTGAAGAAGACATTCTCTAAGAAAGTTTCTTAATCATGAGTAATTAATCCTAAGAATCACCTGGAAGGAGGTTACACCTAGAGCTTCTCGGGCTCCACACCAGGCCCCCTGAATCAGGACGCCCAGAGAAGGGACCTGGGGATCTGCACTTTCTGCAGACATTGCCAGGGCTCCGTACAGATTGTGCACATTTGGAAAATGCTGTTCTAAGAGAAATATCCAAAGGACTGGGGAGAAAAGTCCCTCCCCAGTCTCCTACCTGTTCCTCCTCTAGTCTTATTACACCTGCTTCCCAAGGAAGTTGCCCTTCAAACCACCTCATACCAGAGGGAATTTTCTAAAACATGCTGAACATCAGGCCTTTAATTAAAACCTATTACAGTAGCAGTTTCCTCCAGGGAAGAAGACAAGCGGACATGCTCACAGGGCAGCACCCAGATCCATGTATGTTACTGTCAATTCTCTAACCCTTGGAGGTGGTGTTGGGCTCGTGGATGCTTCTTTTTAACTTGCAGAAATAAATTAACAAATAAGTAAATAAATTGTAAAAAGCCATAACTGGACCAGTTAATACAATTCTGTGACCTGAGGATCTAATTAAACACGTTTTTAAAAGGAAAGAAATAGAACATGTTAACAGTATCTCTGGGTGTTGAAAGTATGCTTGTTAAAAATTACTTTATCTTACTCTGTATTTTATCATTACTCCATAGTGAATTGCATAACTTAACAAAATTCTTAAAAAGTTTTTAAAAAAATTCACCACAAGTCCTTGCCATGGCCTAGAGGATGACATCCAAGGAGTTAGCAGGACGTACCAATGGCCACCTAATCCAGTCCTCGCCTTTCTGCCCACCGATAGCTCACTTGACCCCACCCTTGAACCATCCTTGCATTTGCTTGAATACCGGATGCTCTTTTGCCATGGTTCCTTCTGCTCACCACGGTCTTCCTTCCCGAGTATCACCAGGGTTTCAGTCAGGTTAATGCGAGGTCCTCCTAAGGTAACAAAAGCTCAGTAGATGAAGACAACAAAGGTTTATTTCTTACTCCATGTTAAGGCTCAGCAATTTTTTCTCTAAAGACCCAGATGGTAAATATTTCAGGCTTTGTGAGCAACATACGGTGTCTGTTGCATATTCTTCATCTTTGTGTGCGTGTGTGTAACCCTTTAAAAAATGTAAACTCATATCATAGGCCATATAAAAACAGGCTCCTGGGGGCCGGCCCCGTGGCCGAGTGGTTAAGTTCGCGCACTCTGCTGCAGGCAGCCCAGTGTTTCGTTGGTTCGAATCCTGGGCGCGGACATGGCACTGCTCATCAAGCCACGCTGAGGCAGCGTCCCACATGTCACAACTAGAAGGACCCACAACGAAGAATATACAACTGTGTACCGGGGGGCTTTGGGGAGAAAAAGGAAAAAAATAAAATCTTCAAAAAAAAAACAAACAAAACAGGCTCCTGGCCATTTGCGGACCTCTACGCTATGTGACCACTGCCAGAGACAGGTAGACAGCAGAGAACTACTCAATCCAGTCACTCAGAAACCGGGCTGATGCAGCAGCTACCTCTTAAACATTTCTTGTCATCATGCAGACAAAAAGAGAGGGCCTCATGCAAGTAATTGAACACTCCAGGCCGGAAGTAGCATCCTGTAACTTCTGCTCACAAATAATTGATAAAATTTCTCTTTCAGCACCACTCAACCGTAAAGGAGCAGGAAGTGCAATCCTACCATGTGTCCAAGAGTAAGGAGAATTGGGACTGCTTGGTAAAAATGATGACTCTCTTCAGCTCAGAGAGAACTGCTCTGGAAAGCCTTTTCTGATACCCTCGTCCCCCAGCCAGATGAGCCACTCTTTCCCTGAAATCCTGTACCACCTCTATAGCATCATCTTGAGCATCCTTTGTGCTGTGCCTAGGGTACTGTAATTGCTACTTCTCTGCCTTCTCCACCAGATCCTGACCTTTCCCAGGAAGCATCCCCATATGTCCACTGCCTAGCACAGGGCCTGCTACCCAGGGATGCTCAACGTGTGTTGCTCAACAAATAAATGGATGTGGTGGATTGTGGGAGTGGATGGGACTGCCCATGCATTTACCTGAAGGCTTCTGAATCTAGCAGTGTCAACCTTTCTGAGACCAGTTAGTTCAGCCATGCCAGTCTCCACTCATAATAAATCTATATTTTTAATTATTCTGTTACTTTCCATATTAATCAAATTCATTCCTCCTTATAAGCCTTTTCTTCTAATAATCAACACTCTGCAGAGAGCTGGTCCTTGAGGCCACAGAGCACTTTGATACTATGTGGATTGGTTTTGTTTTCAGTTTACAGGTCAGAAGGCAGGCACAGAGAGGCACATTGATTTTCCCAAGTTACACAGCCAATCAGAAGTAGAGCAAAAGTTATGCTTCCTTTTGATTCAACAAAAAAGCTATAGGATTGAAGATAAAGCCACAGCTAAGTTCATTAACAGTTTATTATACCCATGGAGAGATAGAAAACACAATACATGTTTGTCAACAATGTCTATTATACCATATCTGTGTTTATCTTGTAGGATACATTTATCTGAGTAAAATACTAAAAACAAGCCACATGACTGTTTATTAATGTTGTCCCTCTTCATATTGATTCCACTCATCCCCTGTGCCACCTTTCCTCTTCTGTAAAAAGACACAACGCATGATCAGGTGGCCTTTCCCAGCCCCGAGAACACTGAAGATGCCTTGCACCTGTTTTACCCTTACACTGTAACGCCTGTTGGGTGAACACCACCTCGATGCTACCTTCACTACTAAATGCATGAAACAAATTTCAGTTCAGTTTCACATGCAACATGTGTGTGGCTGCTGCAGTTTGCATGACACGCGCAACCACAGGGTGGGCAAAACAGCATTCAAAATGAGCTGTTGTTCAAGACTCCACCAGTTCAGAGAGCTAAGCCCCTTCATGTTTATCAGTCACAATCTGGATATCCTCTGGCCCCACCTAAGTAAATCCTGACCTAGAATTTTCCTCTCCTCTCTGTCTCCTGGATACAGTAATTCCCAATAAACGTCCCATCCCATGGCTGGCCTTGATGAATGCCCAGGAGAACCAAGACAAGGAGAACACAGCCAGGCAGTGACTACTACTACTTATATCACCGATGGCATAGCGCCAGAGCACAGTCTTAATGAAATTCGCAGTTTGGGTCTTTCAAGATAAAAACAACTTTAAAATATATTTATAAACCCTTTATCTAAGAAGGTGAAATAGCTCAGTCTGCCATCTGACTCTTGTTAGATGCTTAACAGCCCTCAGCAGATGATGCACTGCAACCAGAGGCAAGTGTGCAAGAAAACTGAAGTACTCAAAAAGCAAATTATAGGCTCACAGACTGCCAGGGACAAAACAAGAATCAATCCTTTCTAGGAGTCTTGCTTTTGCTTCCTTTCTTCTTTTCTTAAGCCTTGTAAGTGAATGTTACAAAGTATATCAAGAAGAATAAACCTACGGGTCTCCCCTCCCAAACAAGAAAAGGTTAAGCTTTTAATTACAAGCCCTCAAACTATCATTTTGTGCAATTAGCAATTAGCTATAATCGTTGATGAGAGAATGCAGAGCTGCGGTAGCAATTTCCCTCCTCCTCATCCCAGACTGGGTTATTTTAGTCCCGTTCTATTATAGAGGACAAGCCACAACCGCGCGCACTCTCACACACATACTCACATTCACTTAAAGGCACATTTAATGTTTAGCAAAATGGCATCTCAGCGTGCGACTGAGACAGGCATCCCGAACCCCACATCAGAGCAGCCCAAACGTTTAGACCCCTCCTCTTCATCACTTTCAGGTGGAGAGAGGAGGCCCGAGGAAGACGCTACCTACCAGCCTCACAGTACCAGCCTCTCTCTGGGGCGCAGGGGAGGGTGGTAGAGAGATGCTTGTTGCCCCTGGAAGCGGCCAGTCCCCCCGGGCTGCAAGCCCCGTTAGTGGGAAGGCGGTAGCAACAGCAGCAATAGTTGCATCAGCGTTAACTGCTGCTGCCGCCGCTGCTGCGTTTACTGGTGCCGGCTGCCCGGAGGTACAGTAATGACTGTAGGGAGCGCACAGCTGCTGCGGCGGCAGGTTCCCTGGATCAGGAAATTAGGGCAAACACCGGGGATTGGAGGCGAGGGCGGCGCGCGAGCCAACCAGCGGCCGCCCCGGGCCCCCGTGAGCCTCGGGCGGACGCGCGGAGCAGCGGGGCCCCAGGAGCAGTCCGGGTGGCAGCAGCGGCCACGGCCACGGCCACTCACACACGCACGCTCACACTCGCACACACACTCACACACCCCCG